CTTTTAACATACCTATACAAAATTCGAAGTCAACACAATCAATAAATATACCGAAAAATTAAACCATAAACAAAAATTCTGTAATACATACTTATAATGGCTGCACAGATTACATCAGAATCCAGCTGTCTATGGTCCCGAGTAAGGCCTTGGTTTAGGCAGGTGTGTTTTTTACCTCACTTACTAACAACCCAACTATTTCCATTCTTGGGCAACATAGCCCGCACGTACCAGGGACAACCATCATTATGGTGTCGACACTTCATCACAAATATATGGTCATCACTTTTTGCCACCACAGCAGTACGATGAGACTTCATACAATATAATTTGACTGCATGTTGCATTTCAGATTTAGTTCGAAACTCCTGGTACAAATATAATGGATCCCCTAAATGCCATCCACCGTGGATGTCATCGTCGCTATACAATATCTCCGTCTCATCATTAGGGTGAGCCCAATTAATGAACGAATAGTGTGGGCTGTCGTTCCAAAATGGCTCAATCTCAAAACCTACGTCCAAATTTAAACTTATCCGTCAGTACGAAAGAAAACACAAATATATATATATGCAAAATTAAAACTTTAATTTACAATCTTACCACTGCTAACAGGGTCAACACGGAGCGGTGGCATAACCTGGGAACTCAAGTTTCCTGAACTAGTATCAGCGTCAAAATTCCCCTCTATGTCCGTATCTGAGGTGTCACCCAGCGGAATAACACTCTCGGGTTCACCATCGTCTTCACTGTCCATGTCCTCGTCATGCTCATCCTCATCCTCATCCTCGTCTATTTCCCTCAGTGGTATCTGACTTAAGACAGGTGCAGGTGCAGATAAACCGACCACTCTGTCTTCTTGACTTTGACTTCTTCCATGCACAGGTGCAGATGAAGATTGACCACAGTCTATTTCAACATATATCTCAATAAAGTTTTGAAATTTTCGGTCCACAATTGCATCTATGACACAGCCAAATCTTCATCGTCACATATATCATTACCAATGTAGAATATAGCATCCTTACTAACTGTAGACTCTACCCTAGCGATCATCCGTTGAACGCCATGGCTGCTGTGTAGCCCCAATTTTTGGTGAATCCTCCCCTTCAGCTCATTGTACGTAGTGCCCCGTTTGATTTTCAACATTTTTGTTTTTCCTTCAAATTGAACACCGTTGGGGCCTTCATAATACTTTCCATCATAGTAAATCATGGTAACATACATGTTTGGACTTGAGCTCATCTTTCACACAAATTTTGGGGGTAGGAATCGGATTTTAGGGTTTTGGGTTCGGATTTGGGGGAAACAATTGAGAAATAAAGGAAAATGACAATGATTTCACAATTACTATGCTTTAGAGGTGGTGGGATGAAATGGAAGGGTGATTGGAAGGTTCGCAGCTGACAAACAAGAGAAAGAGACCAAGAGATGAGTTTTACATTCGAATATAATGAAAATGAGACCAAGAGAGGTCTGGATATAGGGTTTTTCGCGATCTTTAGTCGACTAAATAATGTGCTTAGTCGACTAAAAGTGCAAACAATGTAGTCGATTAAGGTGAGTTTTTAGTCGACTAAAATTCGCGTTTCATGATTTCTGAGTTTAGCCCATTTAGTCGATTAAAAGTGCAACTTAATCTACTAAATGGGGGCAGGATGGTGGATAGTTCTGGGGGAGGGGCAAATTGGTTATTAATTATTTAATGAGGGGCAAAAGGGTCAAAAAGCCTCCTATAATCACCAATTAAGTAATCATTTCACCTACACTTTATGGCTTTTCTCTCTGTTTTCTAAAAGGAAATGAATAATCTAGATTTAGAAATTTAATATGACCGGAAGCTTTTGACAATTCAATGAACATAAATAAATTATCTATGTTCTACCTTGTACTGTCATAATTTCACTAGAAAGAGTTTAGGGGGGGCGAGGATTGAATTCTTGAAAAAAATTAATATACTATCGTCATATGTACATCTCACCAATAGAAACATAACACATTAGCTGGCATGTTTCGTGAAGAGAGAAAAATAACAACTTTAATATTATAATTATATATTTTTCGAAATACATAGTTTGTAATTTTCATTTTGAACTACTCCCGTACTCAATGGTCAATACGACGGTAGTACTGAAGATGCTCTCAAACTCTTAATCTCATTGTTACCAATCATAATAAGTGCTTGTTTGGATCCTCTCTTTTTTAAGCTAGAAGCTACTTATAAGCATAAGCTAAGCCAAACAGGTTTTGAAAAAAACTCTTATAATGAAAAACTTTTTTTTTATAAAGAAGAAAAAAGCTAAGAGCTAAAAGCTCCAAGGAGGAGCTTTTTTTTAAGCTCTTATTCGCTTTTTTTGAATTGTATTTTTTTTTAAATAAAGAGCTATAAAAATAGAGAGCGATAATTTTCTTAAAATATGTGCTTTTAAGTAACTTTTAAGCTAAAAATTGTATGTAATTATCAAACAATTTTTAACTTTTTTTTAATTCTTTTTTTTAACTTTAGCTTATAAGTAGTTTCTAGCTTAAAAATAAAAGAATCCACCTTACAAATAGTAGAGAAAAACAAATATTATGTTGCAGTAAATTTGATAGATTATGCTATAGAGACAATAGTTATTGGGGCCATTGTTGTTGTTTTTTTAAAAAAAAAAAAACACACAACTTCCCATGAGTTAGATGAAAGAAGTTTATTTGTCCAGCAACATGAGGCTCACATCGGCCTTTATATTATACCTCTAACAAAAATCAATATCAACATATCCATGTCAAATTAATTCCACTTATTACGTGCTAGCTTTCTGATCATAACTGGAATCAAAAGATTTTGATTCACACATGTACAATATATTGAGGATATGAGACGTTGACAAGTGACAGAAATCTTGTCCCACTCCCAAAAGAATGGGCCAAAAAGAAAATGATCAATTTCCTCAGCCAATTATAGTGAGGAGGAAGAGATAGAATATTCAATAACCAATTAATATTCATCTTTTAAAAAGTTTGTGTTAATAGTGCATGTGCTTATCAAATCTAGGGGTGTTCATCAACCGATCCAAATCGATTCAAATCGCGGAGACCGAATCGAAAAATCAATAACCGAATAAACCGAAAACAAAAAAAAAAACCGAAAATTTTAATTGGATTGGATCGGTTTTTGGATGGGTTAATGAAAACCGATCCAATCCAAACCGATCCAATATATTAATTCTCATGTACCTACTTGGGTATTTTCTCAATCATAGCCCAAAAATTTCTAAACCCAAGACCCATTAACCCATCAACTAAACCCAAGAAAAAATCTTGTTACATCTCATCAACAAAAATTTATCTTTGTAGAGTTTCATATCTCATTGCCTGAAAAAAAAACTATATTATAGTTTACTAATGCTTTTATATTTCAAAAAAAATAAAATTTACAAAGCCAATATATATAAAAGAAGTTATTTGCACAATAATCATGAAATAAATTTTAAAATTTTCAAAAAACCGAAAATCGATCCAATCTAAACCGAAAAAAATTGGATCGGATCGGATCTGATTTGAAAAAAAATCCAAATCGAATAGATGATTAGATGATCAAACCGAAGGGATTGGATCAGATGATTTTTGTTTCCAAAACCGATCTAATCCAGACCGCGAACACCCCTAATCAAATCCATATCCCTTATATATATAAGTTCGTATACATCCTGTTATAAAAGCCATGCAAACCCAAAGTTGTAAATGGATAACAAAAATGCTTTTTTAAAAAAAATAAAAAAAGAACTCTCTGAACTCTGTTCGATTCGAAAGGACTTCTATATTATAAACAATTTCATTTTCAGTAATTGTTCATGAATCAATAACATGATCAGATGGAAAATAAAAATAAAAATTTGCCGTGGATTAAAAGCAAGCTATTAGCATTACCCTTAAATTTGACGAGTTTGTATTAAAAAGAAAAAAAGTTTATATTAAAAAAGAAAAAATAGAACGAGCGTTCTTTTTCGGTTGGTATCTAATTTTCTGTTTTGTTTTTTATTTTTAAGCTTCCTTTGCATAGGCTTAAAAGTAGGTTTTGGGCCCTAAAGCCATATTAGTTTCCCTTAATGGCATTTTTAAGGTGGACCAAAAACGAGAAAGTTTTACCACAGAGCAACATTGGGCCGGGCCTTGAATATCACTAAATAATCTGAACTCACTTTTTATTAATGAGGACAGTTTGAAATTTCACTCGATAATAAACAAGTGTTAGAAAGAGAGAAAAAATAAATAAATAAAAAACAGTGTGTGAAAAGAGCGCGTTGAATTGCAAAATTTTGAACTTAGCTGACCACAAAAAAAAAGGAGGAACAAATTAATGGAAACCGGTGTATATTGTGAATGGGTTTGCATTCATCATTTAACATGACACAAAAAAATTTCCTACACACACATTTTGTGAAGCCACACTTTTTGAAGCAAAAAAAAAAAAATTACGGCACGCAAAACGAATCTCTATAACATTACAACATAACTCTTATTAAACCCTATTGTGAATTAGGCCTAAACTGAAAACGAAAAAAGTAAAAAAGTAATCTCTCTATAGAGAAATCCAATATAATTGCCAAATTATCAGCACTTGTTTATAATTTTTTTTATCTCCTGATAACATTCCAAAACAGTCTTCATTTCATTTGAGAATTTATAAATATTTATGCCAATAGATTTATTGATTGAATTCTTTTGACGGTATGATTTTTTCACATACACAGAATATGGAATTAATGTTTCTCATGTTATAAGAGATAATTTTATCTCCTACACAAATAAAAATATGTGTAGCTCGTGTGGAATCACGTGAAGAGAAGAAAAAGAAAATATGGACCCTACACACTTTTATGTGTACAGAAAATAAATTTATCTACTACTATAACATGAGAAACATTAATCCCATAAAATGTTGTGCCATACTTTTCTCTCTTCTGTTTTGATTGCATAAGCACCAAAGCTAAAAAAACAGAAAGTAAAATAGCAATTCAATTCAAAAGAATATGTGTTAGCACTTAGCACCATAGTGGCGGACACAACTAGCAAAAAGTTGAATTTGGCAATCCAATTACAGAAAAAAAAAAAAAAAAAAAATCAATTCAATTTCCTCATATACATTCTCCTCCCCCTCTAATGTTAACTATTATTGTAGATAAATCTTCTTTCCTTTCTTTCATTCTTCCCTCTTACCATCTTAGACATCACTTTCTAAGAAAACAAAGGTTAATAATCCGCGCATGCTGTACTCTCCCTTTTACAAATTTTCATGCCCCATATGGACCCAAGAGAACAATGATCTCTTCAATTTTTATACACTTTCAAGGATAAAGTAACTTGGCAAACAGAAGTTCATTCCAAGTATCCTGTAGTCCAGGTAAACACCAATGCACACAATCAGCGTAGCTAACAGGGTTAGATAGTTGCTCTGGAGTTAATGGACTCCATTGCTTCTTGTAGATTGAAGTGTGTGCATCTTTGCGGTAGCTGGAGAGCTGAGTGATGTTAAGAAATGTTATGGGCACTCTGGATTTTCTGAACACCTCTCCAATTACTTGCATTATGCTTTTTTGAGAATCAGAACTCCAGTATGTTGGATCATTGATTGGAGTTGTTTCATTGTAGCAGTTCCCTCCTGGTTCACCTCCCCACTCTATGCTTCTGCCATATATACTTGTACTATATGAGTCCCAACATTTGTGCTTCCATATACCAAGCTTCTTAAATAATTATTACTCTCTTAGGAATAAATAATGAAGCATTGGTACTAACAGATTTAGCATATATAATATATTTCTCGTGTTGCATAAGACTTTGTACACACACAAAAATAGATAGAACCCACTAAGAAAAATATAGAGAAAGTAAAGAAGTAAGTCTTATCCACTTTTTTGTATGTGCATAAGATAAAATTATCTCATGTAACACGAGAAATGTATTTCCCCTAGATTTAACTTAACTCCAAATGTAAGGAACATTGGAATGTAGCTATCACTCTTTATTTTATTTTTACTTTTTTGTCAGCACAGAAAATTATGACATTGTTGGTATATTATATATGTGTGTGAACTATACTCACTTTCCATGAGAAGGTGACATGCTGGTGAAGAAGACTCTTGTTTTGTTGGGGTCCATGTTCATACTCACCCATCTAACCAAACTTTTCATAGCCATACGATAGGCATCCTCTGTTGACAGCTCAACAATCTCTTTTACTTCATCATTAAAAGATCCAAGCCTAAAAAATTTGAGGACACATTAGGTATTATTTTGCAATGGCATTGGCAAAAGAAATGAGGACCAAGTGAATAATTATTTGAATAGTATAGAGAATCATACAAAATCTTCATCTTGGAGCCAGTTATCCACCAAAGATAGGTGTTGAATACCACAATGTCAGCACCTCTCCAATAACGGCCATGCTTATTGATTGAACCCTTCCTCACAATCCTATCAGTTACCCTATGGATGACAGCGTTATCGGAGTTTGATTCTAGAAGAAAAGGTGCCCAATAGAACTCAATTGTGGCATTGTATTCCTAATTAAATACAGCAAAACGAACAGAGAAAAAAAAAAAGATGGGCACATTAATGTAGCTAAAACTAACTATGTTTGTGAATTGTGCATGAGCTAAGAGTAAGAGGGTACACCTACTTTGGCTGTGAAGACAGTGAGTGAATCAAAGGTTTCCATAGATTTGGCATCTTCAGGAATGAATTGATGGAGAAGGCATATCAAAGAGACATACTGACCCCGGTTGAGGGAGTCTCCAATAAACATCATCCTCTTCCCACGAAGCATTTCCAGCATCAAACTTGCATTGAATCTGTAACATTGGTAAAGAGGTGTGTTATGTTTGGCTTAAATCTACGAATCTATGATTAATTGTTGCTTTTATTTTTTTTTTAATACAATTAATCCTCTTCCCACGAGGTTTTTTTTTTCATCAGGGAGCATCTAATGATTCTAATATCATATTGTAAGAGACATTCTCTCTCATGCTACAGACTCAACACATGGTGGGTCCTACCATGTATTAAAAAAATAAAAATAATAAGACATATTTATTGATGTATCTACAACATAAGTTAACTCTCTTCTATTACATGAAAGAATAATTTCCCTTTTTTTTTAAATACAATCCATGAAACATATTCATCAAAGATAGGTAAGATCAAACCAACATAGTTACTTCTAGTAGTTTCTGTAAGTAGAACTTCAAGGAAAAGGAAAAGCTAAATTTGACATTCTAAATTTTGACGTAATCTTTATAGGAGAAGGTTATATTTAGACATGTTTACAAACTACGTTAAGTATGACTGGTTATACTTCAATCAAGAATGTATGACCGGTCATACTTAGTGTAATTTGTAAAAAAAAATTGTATACTGATCATTCCGTATCTTTATATTATTTTAGTCTTTCTAGGAGAATTGGATCATTTCTTGCATCAAGGATCAATATTTAGAAATAAAATAGGTACAATAAATTTTAACTTGTGCATAACATTTCCGTGTTTTGTCATTGGAATTCTTTTTAGGTAATGGGCATATAATAGCAATTAATTTTCTTCTTGTATGTCCTTTTCCTTCTTGCTGAAGAACAGTGAAAAAGTAGGTGATGTCTGAATACACTTGAACTTTATTGCCCAAATGAAGGGTCCTGATGTATTAAGTTCTTTGATCTAATGAAGATCCATTAGGACTAAATAGCATTCACTCAGTTTTTGGTAAATACGCTGCTTATGGATTAGATTCTTAAATATTCTCTCAATTCCAAAGAAGCTAACAATTAAATCAATCTAACCAGTACCTAAAAACACCTAAAGTTTCAACCACAAACAAATAGTCATTCAGGTAAGAACCTAACAACGTAGCCATAACTAGAGAATAAATATGTCCAAAAGAAGGGTTCAGAAACTCAAATTTGACATAAATTAAAATAGAAAATATCAAAAGCATCAAATTAGTACAAGTTTAAGGTGACTAACTCGCATATACTCAAATTACTCATAACCTTTGCATTGTAATGTCCGTATTGTATGTAAGGTCCCACTACCACCGATAGAATACAGAAGGCAGAAGCAAAAAAAAGGAGTGGATTCTTTTATAGAAAAATGGTCACGTGATCATGTTATTTAATCACAACCACTCATTGATAATAATATAAGAGAAAGAAAATTGTATAATTTTTAAATGAGTAATTATGATCAAATAACATGATCATGTAATCACTTTTTCACTCAACAAAAAATGCTAAAAAACACTAGGTGGCAATCATTCAATTGTTGGTGAGTTATGACTTATATGACTACAATATTCATAGCATCCAACCACCGTTTCACACGTGACTGTCATGTCGGAAACGGGTCCAACAAATCCAGTACTCCGACCCACCGACAACTTGACCCGAAAAAAAAAAAAACCACACAAAGAAAAAACAAAACAAAAACAAAAGCACCTACGTGGGAAGATCGCAACCGTGAGGCTGCCAGCGCCACCGCCGGTACTCCTTATCAGGCCGACCGTGTTCTTGACAAGTCAACTGTGGTTGTATGTACGGACACTCCGATTCCTCGTACAGTGGCCGAGTCAACTCGTCGCGAACCCACCTTCCGCTGAACAAGTCGCAGCCTCCTTCTTCCGCCGTTTTCCCCACCGCGAACGCCGCCACCTTCTGTTGCTTGCTCCTCTCTGATATTGAGATCACCCCACAAAATAAACAACAACACGAAATTCAGCTGAGTTGACACTTGAAAACCCAAAAGCAGAAAGAAGAAAGAAGAAAGCACCTTGACTCGGTGGGCTGAGTCAACTCACCGGGTGTGGTGGAGAAGAGTGCGTGTGTGTCATGATGATGGTGTTGGCGGAAGATGAAGATGAAGTTGTGGCCATAGATGAAGGAAACAAAGAGAATGAAAACTAAGAGGATGAAGAGATAGGGAGAGATACGATGCTTGGTTCTGAGAAACGGTGGATTCATCATTTGCATGCATGGACCCCAACTCCTTAATTTGTTGTGGGGTTGTTCGTTTCTTTCCTAACCTTACAAGTATTTTCATTCATATAGCAAATTATTATTCTGATTTAAAATTTAAAGTGGAAGCTATGGTGAGTTGGAGCCATCAATGTGGAGTTTTTGTCCTCTTAATTAGGTATGGATTCCGTCAAAGGCAAGCATCACTATCTGTAGGTACAATTTTTATGCTTAAATACAGTTCCACGGGGAAATTTTGAAGGTCCAGTGTGTTATTTAAAATTAGAACAAATATCATTTTCGATACTCAACAAATTTACCCGCTTTAGTCCCTAGCAAATAAAAAGATTATTCGTGGTCCCTAAGAAATTCAAAATGGATTCATTTTAGTCCTTTTGAGGGACTAATGTGGGTCTTTTTTGAATTTGTGAGGGACCAAAATTTCAACTAAATGGGTCCATTTTGAATTCCTTAGGAACCACGAATAGCTTTTTTATTTGCTATGGACTAAAGCGGTCATCGTGAAATTTGCTGATGACCAAAAAAGATATTTACGCTTAAAAGTATATAAGGTGTGTTTTTTTAGTAAGTATGATCGGTCATACTCTTGTAATTCTGAAAAGTTATTTTTTTTCACTTTATATATAGAAGAGAAAAAAATAACTTTTCAGATTTACACAAAATATGACCGATCATACTTTATATAAATCATCTAAAAAGACACAACTTGTGTCATTTTAAATTATACTTTGAATTGATTAATGCAACTACAAGTTAAATTATGTATAGGTATAGCCTAATAAACTGAATGACCTGGGAAAAAAAAGCAAAAAATGAATAGAATGAATGAAGTAAATAATATTTTATGTATCTTCTGTCTAATTAAAGACAAAGATGCCTAGTGAGAGATTAATATGTTGATTTTGGATTTAAAGATTTTCTTAGATATCTATGAGTTAAATATCTTTAAGTTTGGCATATACACTAGGAATACTTAGCCAAAGAAGTAATGTGTGTACAATGACAACATAATAATATATATAAAATGTTCATACATGTAAATTTTATCTCTTATTTATAAAATTTACGACAGTAAAATTTTGGACCTTATATAGCTATTCTAATAGCTCATGTCCTAGGATTCATGTCAATTAATAATCATTTCCTTTATTTGCATTACTTCCTTTTCTCGTTCCCCTTCTTGGACCAATATGGACATCTCTTATGGTCCATAACAATGTATAATACATATTTTTTCATTATTAAGTTTATTTCCAAGGTTAAAATGTTTGACGGTCAGCTAAAGGTGTGAGGAAGATTAAGACTAATAATCACTTTTCATGTTCACATTGGATACACATTACATCGAATAAACAAAAAGGTCTCAACAAGCTGTTTGGTCATTTTTTTTCTTTTTAGTTACGATTAAGGCATTGGACTTTAGGTGGCGGGTGATTTACGTTGCTTTGGAATTATGTTGCTGTTGATTCTCGCAGAAACACAGGAATTTTGGACTCTGCAAGTATTATATTATTATGGAGCTGTAGTTGTGCTGGACATTCAGAAAATGTTTAACAATGGGACAACTAAAAACGAATAAAATAACTATAGTATCTTCAACTAACGAATTATAATCCCTATTCTGATGCAAATTATAAGCATTTGTGTATCCAAAAAAAAAAAATTATAAGCATTTAAAGGGTGACTCCAGGCTGCATTTATTATTTTATTATACACGAGTTTGGTTAGGAAGTAGTTCGTGATAGTTTGAGGTCGCACAAAATATTCTTTATTCTTCCACAGTTTTGTCATTCACAAAGTGCTTCATATGGTTTTAATTGCGGACACCGGGAAATTCATCTTATTTTAAAATTATTTATTAATCTATTTTATTTTGAAAATTATTTATTTATCTTCTTTATTTTAACTAAAGTTAACATTTTTATTATGTGAGTTTCATAAAGATGACACGCATCGCATCATTTATATGATTAACTACACGTATCAGTTATAAGACCTATGCGATGAGAAGATCAAATTAAGTCAGATTTATAAATATTTTGTTAAAATCAGTAAATTAATATCGAATTTTTAAAATAAAGGCGATTTGGTTATTCTGCCGGACTATCGTGTTAGATACAAATTTTTAATTCGAGCGTAACTATCGTGATAGATACTGTATCTTTTTTTTCTTTTTTTTCCATCTTGATCAATAAAGTTTCTATTACAAATTGATTTTATGATTATCAAGAGTCGAACATAAATTTACTTTTTTTCGTTTGTTTTTTACCATAAAAAAAGAAGGTAGAATTTTCTAACTGAAATTAAGAGATCGGGGTTTGATCCTGGTTTTTTCTATTTTTGAGCGAGACGCTTGGATCAAACGAATTAATAATGTTATAAATACTTTCTAAGGATAAGGATGCGTACGTCATGTGTCTCTAGAAAACTCTACCTTAGATACCAAAATATCCTCAATATTCCTGTAGTACTCAAGACCCCAGTGCATCCTTTATTTATTTTTTTTGGTACTTATTCTTTTATGTTATTTTCACCTAAATCCCACATTTTCCTATTTTTAATAAAGGAATATATACTACTGTAATACTAAATGTATACTCCTTAGGTACATATATAAATAAATCACCTATAGCAGTGCAACTTTAAGAAAACTAAATAGGTATTTTAAGAAAGATTTGTAAGATTCTTTCGGAACAAGGAAAATTTCTTATTCTATATATTAAATAGGGAAAAATTCACCAATGTTCCTGTGATTTACTTCATAATCACTTATGCCCCTGTGATTTTTTTCTTATCACATATGCCCCTGTAATTTGTAAAATATACCCCTGTGATTTCTTATTTTTTACAAAGCACAGGGGCATATGTGATAAGAAAAAAATCATAGGAGCATAAATGATTCTGAAGCAAACCATAGGGGCATTGGTAAACTTTTTCCTATTAAATATGCACATTTTCAATTATGAGTCATTACTTTTCCTTAAAATTTACCTATATTTTTACTGTTATATTAAGAGTGATAAGTAAGGAAAATCTAGCTCGAATACTGCGTAAGAATTTCCCGTTTGTCTCGTAAGGCATCAGTTGTAGACATCTTTCATATATTTTCTTCTCTCATCCCAATAAAAGACATCGAACTTGAATGTTATTTTTTTATTTTATTCTTAAATAAAAAGAATAAACATCAAGTTTAGTCTTCAAAAGATTGGGTTGACAACTTGACATATTACTAAAAGATAAATAACATCAATCTATTCCTTTAATCATATAAAGTGACATTAAAACATCATTCTGTTCATAAATCATGAGATTGAGAGACTAAATTAGTGTCATTTTCGATTATTAATATACTAAATGCATGTCAACTTTATAAGATTGAGACATTAAATTAATATCATTTTCTATTATCGAGAAACTAAATCGATGATAATATTTTTTTAGGAGATGGAATCTTTTGACACCAGTGTCAAATTTGAAGTTTAACACCTCATCTAATAGCCGTTAGATCAAAAAAGATCAATGGTGTCACATGCTTACAAATCAGAGTCGTTGATCTTTTTTGATCTAACATCTATCAGATGAAGTGTCAAACTTCAAATTTGATACTGGTGTCAAAAGATCCTACCTCTCTTTTTAGAGGACTAAATTAATATCAGTTAGTTTTTAGAGATTAAATTGATGTTAACTCAATGACTAAAGTAATAGTTTACTCTTAATGAAACCATACGCATCACTAAAACTAGCTAACTAGGGCCATTAATTGAGTTAACCCAAGCTTGTAGTTGGCTCGAATCCAGTTCTAACCTAAACATAAACAGCTAACCCAACCGTTGATCCAGCAATCACACAATGCGCAATCAATCACAATTCACTAAGATAAGTACTAAGTCATGTCGACAAGAGAGAGATTGATGATATCAGGTTATGATAATATAATATAATGGCTCCATGTGATGTATCCATGCCACAGCAACAGTGTCTTCGGTTGGACTCTTGCTAAGTTGCTAGTATTATACAATTATTCATATTTGCGGTGCGCCCAGGCTAAGACAATAGGATTTAACAGGATGTATTGTTTCATAGGATTTAACACAGGCCCATCTCATAGTGCATCTGTTGGATGAAAGCGACAAATAACTCTGTTGACACAGGTTGTCTTGTTTTTCTCGAGGCAAAGGTACATGGCCTTTTCCCCCACAAAGCTACCTTTTGCTGCTAAGCATTAACATATATTTGATCCTATTCACTAAAAAATATCAACACCACGGGATCAACAGAAATTTCTACAATACTCTCATCCCACCCACTTTTTCATATATCCCTCTAATAAAAACTAAATACAAATGCTGACTGATAACATGGAAGAGAGAAAAATATTATCTTAAATACAGGTGTCCCATCAACAGGAAATTTAATTTTCAATGTGATTCCTCGCAATCTCCCAGAGAGCATCAACTATATCTGATTGCCGTGGCACCCTATTAGCTCTCACGCGTAAAGCACTGGGAGAGCAGGACTCGGTGATTTAGCAGGGATAAATAGGATGGAATTTGGCTTAAGACCCAAAGATGAAGCTGGCCATTGAAGTTGACATTTACTTTATATAAACTCAAGCTTCATTGGTAGAAAACGAACAGCATAAAGACACATCCAATCCATACATAAATTAACTAGTAATGCAAAAACGATTTAGCAGGGAAAAAGAGGTGAAAATGAACAAAAAGAGAAACAGTAATGAATTAATGGTCAAAGTAACAAAATACAAGTTACAATAAAAGAAGTTCATTCAATTACCTGATTATCAACTAAAGAATGTCAACCAAAATTATTGGATTAGTTCCATTGTATTGTCTTTTTGTCCCGTTAAGAATCACACTAAACTTTCTTTTTATCTCCTTTCTTTTCCTCCTCCTCCTTTTCTTTCATAGATAAGGATTAAAGAATGTGAAATACTAAATTCAGGGAGGGATAGTCAGAGCAAGAATTACAGATTTCTGCAGAATGTCCCATTTCAAGGAAGCATCTGAGCTGACCAGTAGGGCATCTGAAAAGTGACTTATCTGCACTTTTCTGCAGCATGTTCATCTCATATCTGAGATAATCCGTAATGAATTCACCAGATAAATCCAGAATCAAAAATATAATCTCAGAAGTTCACAGGAGAATAGGAGCTCCGGTGACCTTGAGACGGTCCCTTAAACTTTCTCACCAAAGATGCAAACAGATTCTGCAAAGACAAAGTAGACTACAAAGGTTATACGAAGAATGTAACTCCCAACCTTCTCGTGCATATGAGTGAGCTATAAAGTTTAAAAAAAAAAAATTTGTCTACGGACCAGATTGGGAAAACCGATATTGAAGCATTCATATGGAAGAATACCTGTGTTCGCTTTGGCAAGCTGACCCAAAAGTCCAAGTTAGGGATAACCTGAAAAATAGGGTCAATGAAAAATGATTTAAATCCCAATTGCCGTAAAGTCCCAGAAAAGTTTGCTTTAGTGTTCTCAGAAATTGGTCGTCAAGGATTGACATGGAATAACATTATAAAACATCATAAACCATGCAAGAACCAAAATTACTAACAGATTGACTGAGTGTAATTAACAAGCAATTTCCCGCCATAAGAAAAGAAGGAACAGTAATGATATTGTGTTTCAGCACGAGATGCATAAAAAATTAGCAATTACAGTTTACCCATACATAAATGGCTACAAAGTAAATCCACCATGAACTGTGTAAAGAAGCTTTACAATATTGATTCAAACTACCTCAAAGATAACTAAATGGAAATGGATCACGAATAACTAACTGAAAAAGGTTCCCTTTTTCTTTTTTCACTTTCTAATCAGAGCAAGTATAAGGAAACTGTTATGGAGTAGCCAATTCACACAACCTAAATGAAAAACATAAATAAAAATAGATAAATATATCCTACTATGAAAAAAGACAAGTAGACAACAAAAAGGACAGGAGAGAACATACATCTATACCACGAATCCCAAGGAAGAAAAATCGATAAGCTATACCAGCCAGTAGATATGCAGCAAAAAGGCATAAAACACTGAAATGGGATAATATGAAACAATTATTAGTAATCCAAATGACAGCCCCTTGTAATAATTAAAATTGCCAGGCAAGACAGTAAAATCCTTACATAGTTAGTAAGGTGCCAAACCACCCCCACCCTCCCCCATGAACATTTACGATCATGGCACAACCAGATGGATGCTTTAGCTCTGTAGCCTGCTTTGGAAACAAGGTTACAACACTGGTAAATAATACTTGTCTTTGGTTTCAAATTCCTATCAACTTCATATTGTCCTTCTGGTTTCAACTTTTACCTCGCCATCACTCCTATTCTCATGTTTCATTAGATGCATATTGATGCAGGGGAATAAGAGACTGAACTTCTGTCTAGGTTTCTTCATTTCGAACAAAAAAGAATTGAAGACAAAAGAACAAGACTCATTATGTTGTGTATTACAGCTGAAAGCTCGTTAGCTTAGCTCTGTACTGCAATTCTGTGAAAGCTATGAATCTTCTTGCCATCTATATGCAACATTTAAAGCTTAAAAAAATGCACTTTTGACTGTTAAGGACAATGGGTTTTTAATTTAACAATCAAAACTCCAATCAACATGAATGCAGAGATCAATCAACATGATTACAGAACAATCATGTCTTTGCATCATCGAGAGATGTAACGATTGGTGAAGAAAATAGCTGAAAAATGAAAAGCAAGATCTTCCTTCATTACTCTTTCAAATGGTAAATCATTTCATAGAAAAAAGAGAGGGAGAGAAAATAATAGGATGCCTGCAAGATAGACTAAACCGAAAATAGTAAATAAAAGGAAGCCAAACTCAAAGCATCAACATCAACAACACATTTATCCCAAATTAATTGGGGTCGGTAGTAGATGAACCCAAATAAAATATATGAGAGGGTTGAAAAAAGAAAAAAGAAAAATAAATAAAAAGAAAATAAAAATAAATAAATAAAATAGTAATAAAATATATATATATATATATATATATATATATATATATAAATATAAATATAAAAGTGATAAAAGAAGGGGGAAAGAATAAAGGGGGGAGATGAAGAGGAAAAAGGACTAAAAAAGGATCATCTGGAACATAGGAATAACAACAGGTCTAACCCTCCACCATGCATATAGATTTTCTCCATTTCGTTCTAAGGCACACCGTCCGCCAATCTATATCTCAATCCATTAAATCTTGTTTTACTACCTTCCCCCAAGTAAGTTTCGGTCTACCTCTACCTTTCTTTGTGTTGAGCTCTTGGTAACAAACTTTTGTTCTTACAGGAGCATCCAGGGGCCTTCTCATTACGTGACCAAACCACCTCAATCTATGTTCTCTCATCTTTTCAACCACCGGTAGTACCCCTACCTTTCGTTGAATATCTTTATTTCTTATCTTATCCATCCTCGTATAACCACACATCCACCTGAACATCCTCGTCTCTAATACTCCCATTTTATGCTCATGTTGCCTATGCGCTGGCCAACATTCAGTTCCATATAGCATTGCAAGTCTTACTGTTGTTCTATAGAATTTTCCTTTTAACTTAAGGGGGATTTTGCGGTCACACAAAAACCCAGATGCACTACGTCATTTCATCCACCCTGCTCTGATTCTATGATTTACATCCTCATCAGTCTCTCCACCTTTTTGCAAAATGGATCCCAGGTATCTAAAAGCATCTTTCTTGGGTACCTCTTGACCAAGTAGTGCACGAGATCTTGGTCTTCATCTCTTGCCAGAGAAAACTCACACTTCAAATACTCAGTCTTGCTCCGACTTAACGTGAATCCTTTAGATTCCAACGTGCTTCTACACAATTCAAGTTTTCTATTAACATCGTCTTTGTTCTCATCAATAAACACAATATCATCTGCAAAAAGCATACACCATGGCACTTCCTCTTGAATATTTTTTGTTAGTTCATCCATAACTAAGGCAAAGAGATAACTTGATGTACACCTACCGTGATAGGAAAATAACTTGATGTTCCATTACAAGCTTTCACACAAGTAGTAACCCCATCATACATATCCTTGATTGCCTTTACATACTTTAATGGTACTTTTTTCTTCTCAAGAACCCACCATAAAACATTCCTTGGAACCCTATCATATGTTTTCTCAAGATCTATGAAAACCATATGTAAGTCCTTCTTCTTTTCTCGATATCTTTCCATTAATTGTCGCATCAAGAAAATGGCTTCCATGGTACATCTTCCTGGCATAAATCCAAATTGATTTACAGAAACCTTGGTGTCTCTTCTCAAGCGATATTCAATAACCCTCTCCCACAACTTCATAGTATGGCTCATTAGCTTAATGCCTCTATAGTTAGAACAATTCCGGATATCTCCCTTGTTTTTTGTAAATAGGCACAATCATACTTTTCCTCCATGCATCAGGCATCTTATTTGTCTGAAGAATCTTATTGAAAAGGTTCGTCAACCATTTTATTGCCACATCCCCCAGGCCTTTCCACACTTCAATAGGGACACCATCAGGTCCCAAGGCTTTATTAGTCTTCATCCTCTTTAAAGCCTCCTTAATTTCATGTGTATTAATTCTGCGCACAAATCTTCTATTCAAATCATCATAAGCATCCTCCAAGTCCACCTCGCTTTTATCGCCATCCCCATTAAACAGCTTGTTAAAGTAGTTCATCCATCTTTCATTTACATCTTTATCTTTCACCAAAAGTTTTTGATTTTCATCCTTGATGCATCTAACTTGGGTGAGGTCTTTATTTTTCTTATCCCTTATTTTTGCAAGTTTATATATACCTTTTTCACCATCCTTGCTCCCAAGATTTTTATACAAATCGGCGAAAACCTTGCCTCTAGCTTCCCGCACTGCTTTCTTTGCATTTTTTCTCGCCAATCTAAACTTTTGCAAGTTCTCTTCATTGGGACTTTTATGCAAAGATCTAAAGCATTCCTTCTTTTGTTTAATTGCCTCTTGCACCTCTCTATTCCACCACCATGTTTCCTTTGTATGAAATCCATTTCCTTTGCTTTCTCCCAACACTCTCCTTCTCATATTCTGAATACACATATTCATCTCATTCCATACTGTGGATGGACAACAATATCATTCTGAATACACATAGCCACCTCAGAGCATATACCACACTAATAATCAACTGTGGATGGACAACAATATCATCTGGTAATATGATGAACTTCTACAAGTAAGCTAAATGAATAGCAATACCCGACAAATTCAATCATGTTCCTTGTTGATACAAGAGTCCATATTCAACATTTCTTAGATTTTCACCAATTGTCACTTATTTTCAATTTCTAAGTTAACAAATTAAAAAAATATATATATAGTGTGCACTTGGATACAAAAGAACTATGATAGGATGTTGGAAACCTACATCATACAATAATAAATAATATGCTAGGAAGCAATAACAGATATCCCAAAACAGAGTACTCACATAATTGCAATCTCCTACTCTCTTTAAAGTTTGCGGTCCCTGTCAACAGAAGATTGATAATGAAACAATCAAGTCATTATAAGGTCCATAATATCGGATTAAAAACTGGGGGGGGGAATAAAAACCTTACTTGTACTCCATTTAAATTGCAAAGCACAGACACTGCCAGCGAACAGTTGTACTTAAGGCCACTGCTTGACATTTTAACAATGACACCAGTATGGGGATTTTCCTTATCTGCCATTGGAATAGCATTACAACCATACAATATTCTAGTTTAGTTCATAATTTTAAGCATTATCCAAAATCACTTAAACCAAATAATACATGATGCCATACAAAAAGCACATAATCAAGAGCATAAATGAAGCACCAAAAATTAACAAAAGAAAACCATGATTTGAAGCAAATTAGAAAACAGAAACATATAGGGGAACTGGGCTTACCAATGACATCAACATCTATTTTTGGGCCACGTCCTAAGTTTGTGCATACGTGATAACCTGCATTTATCACTCTGTTAGAGTACGTGGATTCCCTCCTGCTTAAAATTTCACTCTCAGAAATAAAGAATAATTGACTTCAATTGGATATAGTTTATCAAAAAGTTAAACTGGATGAGCAAAGTAGAGACACCACTTCAAGTTTTGAGCCCTTCCCAACTGATGATGAAGGGCACTCAATATTTAGAACCAAAAACAACCTCTTCTAGAGAACATAATTTTTACTATGTAAAGCTCTTCTAATAATTCCATTATGGACAAACTGAAATAATGTCAAATGAAAAGACCCTTGTAGTTCATGTACGAACACATTTTTTAGATGTTTCAATGAGGTGTGAGAGCGCACATATGAATATATAAAAGCAGATGAATTAATAATTGCCACAGCACATGCTAGACTATATGTTCTCCATATGACAAAAGCAGTGCAGACAAATGAAAAGAAAAAGTCAAAATACTAAAATAATATTTAAAACTTGTAGAAACAAAAAGGTCTGTAATTCTTTTCTAGAAGAGTAAGGAGTGAGAATCAGTTTGGTCGTGCTGTTGCGTAACATAAAATGCTTTTAAAATAAATAAAAGTACTTTCAGGCAACCTAAATTGCTTGATGTGGCAGTAGAATCTTTTTTTACTGTGAAAGAGAAGTAGGTACTTGGAGGTTCTGCTAGCAACAGAGACTAAGAAAAAATTATCTGTATTGCATTTTTCCTTAATGCTGATCTTAAAAACTGACAGGAATTCTACCTCCAATGTTGTTTGCCACAAGCGCATTGCACTCCATCCCACAACGTGTTGGCCCTCCACAATCCTAAAGCATACAATAAGGGAATCAAATAAGCAGAAAATTTTGCAAAATTATGGGATAATAGATATTAATTCCATTTTTCAAGATATTCCGTGATAAAATTTACTTAATCCACATAGCAGCAGGACCTTTGAACTACCTTAAAATCCTATCCAATGTTATCCCTAATGATATTTATCACTGATATGCTCTACCTTTTCATCTCAACCTTTGAAGTAGCACTACTTACATGTGAACAGTGACCACTACCCTAGACAAACTGATTGCCAATTTATTTGTAAATTAAACTAAATACAATTTCAAATCAGTTTCATCTTTCTTTTGGAACATTTATAATATATTATTACATTATGATGCCAAATCATGCTTGATTATAAGGTGACTATTCTATTAACTTATTCTTCTGTATTCATTAAAATGTACACCTTTACTGTTATTTGTTGTTGGGTTTCTTGGCTTAAGTGAATATCCAAGTGAGAGTAAGTGTTGCTGTGTTAAAGCTTCATGTATACAATTGGGTTTATTTCCTATAGGCTCAGATCTCTGAAATGATTTTTACTCCACAATTCCTCGAGGAAGCTTAAAAATGATGGATAAATACTAAGGAAAATGACTCGATGAGAAGAAACTTGTACTGAAAAGAAAGCAGGAAACAGTATATTTGAGATATATATTACAAGTAACAAATATATCTACAAATCCTGTGACTTCATCAACTATTCCTTTATAAAAATATGCATTATATTCATAAGTATAATTAATAATAAAGTATGATCATAAATCACATCTATCAATACAGGTTTGATAGCAATGCAGAATCTATCAATATAGCGAAAATAGGTCAACAGAAAAAGAGACATATTTACCCAGCAGTCAGCACATGTTGGAGGGTCATGATTGAAAATCATTTCATCACAAAGCTGCTCAAACAACCAATACAAGAAATTCAATAATAGTTCAACTCGGCATAAAGCTACATCAAGGCTACCATTTCCTATAAAAGTATATGCTGTGCTTTGAAAGTACACCTATTATAAGCCAGTACAAGAACTGGCATAGTTACATATAAACACATTCAAACTCAGTCATTGAAGGACCAAAATGAAGCAAGACTCTGCTTTCAAAGTCAGTGTACCACAGCCCGGAAGCAAAAAATAAAACAAGATTTTTGTCTATGCTTATGCAGCTAAAAAATATTACTAACCAATGGAACCGGTACTAGTCAGAAATCAAAGAATTAAGAGTGACCTGATGGAGCCAACCTGAAACCAAAGGGTGGTCTCGTTTACTGCTACTTTGTAAAATCTACATGGACAGAAATAAATATAAAAAATGAAATCTTCAGTCAGAACCATATAATTAATATGTTCTTACAAACCAATCATATTTACATATAAAAAATAAACTTCTTTTCCAATTCGTGAAGTTATTGCCGAATTAGAATAAAGCCATAACGCAGACCCTAATTGCCAGAATCCTCCAAATAACTAAATTCCAAAACTCTAGCACCACAATTCACTAAGCACGTTTACGTCATAACATTATTTAACTAATCCAGGAAACGTTTCTAAAGATGAATCAAAATAACAAAAAATAAAATAGAATAAAAGAACCTAATAAAGAGACATCACCAAAACCGGAAAAAACGAAACTACGTCAGATCAACAGCAGTGGAAACACATATTGATCTGGATGCAGAGAGAGAGAGAGTGTGTACCCGTCTTCGCTGAGTATGCCGTGAGGGAAGTTGCGAATGGGAGAAGAGAGTGTGTAATTGTAAAGCTTGTTTCGGTCGAGAAAAGTGAATTCACAAGCTGCTGCAGCGTCAGCGGCGGAGCTTAGAGACGCGAGTAGGTGTAAAACGGTGAAGAGAGTGAGGAGGAACCATGTCGTTCTGGTTCGGGTTCGGGTTCGGGTTCTCGGGGATCTGCGTCCAGCTACCATTGTCATTGTTGAAGGATGAAAAGTAACAGCTATTCCATGCTTTGAAGATTGGAGAAGAGAAGACACCACCGTGGAAGCGTGAGATGTGAGCTATGACCTGTGGCGGAAGAAGGAACACCTAAGTAATTTCCGATAAATGCTTCATACGCCCTGTTAGATAAATTAAATTTAACAAGGCATTTGCCACATAACACTACTCTCACAATGAAATGAAATTATATATATGGAAAATCGTTTTCTCGTGAACGAGATTATTTTCATAGGTTGTGAGTATTGAAATGTGTGCTATTCTTTTCTTTTTAACAAGTGTTGAACCTTATTATTTGATATATCTATCCCACGAGAGATATTATCTCATGTGATATGTGATACGAGAAAATATAAGTTCTTGTAATATATGATGTTATATATTTGTTTATTGAGTTATATACTTCCGCTTGAACTATTTAAATACAAAATTTATTTGAGAATACTATTACTTGAATTTATGATCAATAGGAATGCTAAAATGTCTTATGGGCTGTATCAATATTTTGGACAAGATAAAATTAATTTTGGTGTAAGAGTTTTCATGAATTAGTATGGGTAATTGCCATCAAAGTGGGATTACTTATATTGTAAAAATTCTTTGTAAAATTTGAGAAATAGTTTTGATTATTTCATGTAATTTCCTGCCCAAATGGGATAATTGTGTGTTATAACTGTCAATTTGTTTGGGATGAAGTTAACAGAGGTGCACTGATCTATGAGATATGTCTGTCCAAAGGGAATAAATATCTGAAGTCAGTGTATGCTCACTGAGCAACTTTTCTTTGAGGTTGTAGATGAAGTTATTAGAGGCTCATTGGTCCAGGGATCTATCTTTCCAAAGGTGATGAATTTTCGAACCCAATGTTGTGCTCATTCATCTGAGGTTCTGACCTTGGTTTGTGCATTGGGAATGTACTATTATGTTGGCCTTGTTATAACAACTTGTTGTGCTAAATGATTAACTCATCCTGAGCAATTTCTTCTTGAGATTGTAGATAAAGTTATTGGAGGCTCATTGGTATAGGAATTTATCTGCCCAAAAGGGATAGATTTTCAAACCCAGTGTTGTGCTCATTGATTAACTCATCTGAGGTTCTGGCTTGGTTTAACCTTGGTTAGTGCATTCTGCCCAAAGTGGAATGTACTATTATGTTGTCCTCATTACAATATTTTGATTTAATTGAAGGTGTATATTGTCCTTTAGTTTATTCTGATGCATACATGTTTTGCCTTAATAATGAATTTCTATGTTAGTTCCTTTAAATAGATTTGAAAACATGTTTGATTCATTTTGAAATATTTATTTTAATTTTTTATATACATAAATATTTATTTGGAATTATTTGCTCTCATTCATATTTAATTTTGTGAGCTCTTATTCATGTCTAATATTGTAATAAATATGGGGAAAAAGTATTTAATGTTAATTTAGATAATTTTGTCTAATGTTCGTCGAAACGACGTCGTTTTGAGGTTGCAAATTTAAAAAATTAGAATGATAAAGACTATTATAACCCTGAAATAAATTAAAATTACAAATACGCCATGATTTTCGCCCCAAAACGACGTCGTTTCGGCGAACATTAGATAAAATTGTCTAAAGTAACTTTAGAAAAAACGAACCCAATAAATATTATGTTCCTTTTTCAAAATTTTAATTAATGAAAAATTGTTACATATTATCGTGATTAAAATATTAGTATTTACTCTCCCAATTTTAGCGTAGATTTTATGTGCTTTGTCAATTAATTTTGATTAGTGAGCGAAGATATATAATTGTTGATACTGCGGATTGAAATTTGTGACACAAATTGTAGTTTAGTAAATGCAATATGAATTTGGGAAATATATACTATAAAGTTTTTCATATTATTTAGGTATTATTATTCAAATTTTTATTTGTGAATCGACAATAAGGGTGTAAATGGGCCAGGCTGGCCCAGCCCAGCCTACATTAAGCCTGACTTGGCCCGGCCTTTCAGAAAAGTAGAGTAGGTTTAGGCTTTTAAGAAAGTCTTTTTAACAAATAGGCCGTAGGCCAATTTTGTCAAGCCTGACCCAAAGCCTTGTAGCTGGTCTATTTAATTTATTAAAAATAAAATAATAAAATAATATTTATTTTATGTTGCATGGCAAAGTACCAATACCAACCTTAATTTTTAGATGAATGACATTCTCTTGTAGACTTTATTTTAGCACTCAATAATTGTATTTTTCTTATTTTCCCCATTTCTTTGACTCTATTCCTCTATGATATACATTCTAAAGCTGGGGTATTATGTTGACTCTTTCTTGTTTGTTATTTTTTTCTTATGAGAAGTACTAGTGCATTCATGAATGAAACTTTATTTGCTCTATACAATTATTTTCTTTGCTTGGTATCTACACTGGTAGCCATGTCGGGCTTTCTTATTTTTTAAAATAGGCCGGGCTTGGCCTACAAATAAAGCCTTTGATAGGTCAGTAGGGCAGATAGGCTGAATTTTTTTTACGTAGGCTTGGGCTAGGAAGGGCAAAGCCCAGCCTAGCCCAGCCCATTTACACCCCTAATCGTCAGTGTCTTTTGTTAATAAAAATTATTTTTTACAATTATCTGCCCAAAGGAAGTTATTGTATGCATCAATTTTGAAATTTGCATTGAGTTAAAATTTCAAATAATGTGAAATAATTATGTACTATGTCCAAAGGAGAGTTTATAAAATGCTAATTATTTCGTTAAAATTATTTCATTGACCATAATTAATATAATTGCATTTTTGTAATACATATACTTATGATATGAATGATAACAATGTCATAATAGAATTATTGATTGGATTAAATTATAGTAAATAGATATGGAATCTATATTTTTTATTATGAATTTTGATCTTGATAAGGTATTACGTTAAAGTTAGCCTATAGTTAATGTGGAGATTATACTTGATATTTTCTTTAGCGGGAGAGATATAATTGATTTTGGGTGATCTTGAAGTTATTATGGAGTCAGTGGAAGATATTTGCTTAATTTTTTATATCAGGATACGAGTTTGTTTTGAAATAAACTATATATGAGGTCTCTTATAAAGATTTTTAATTTTTATCTTGTTTGGATCACCTTGAGTTTTAATTTTAAATCTGGTGATGGAAAAATAATGTTAAACTCTAATGTCATTGGCTATGAGTTTTATTTAATTATATGTTTTGTGGATGACTTAATTATTAATACATTGGTTGACCCTCTAATCGAAGGACTTAGGCCCGTGATATTTAAAATGCATATGAAGCACATGTGTATATGAGTTCCCTTGATTTAGTTGATTATTGGGAGTTTGAATTATTTATTGTTTTACAGTGTTTAACCATTTATTTTGGATATAATTGATGCTTGGTTGACAGATAAAATATTTTGGAGCAATTGATAATGCTTTGAGTTTTATTATTGTATATATTGAGTATGTATTTATGTTTATCAATTGTGAGATATTTTGAAACTCAGTGTCGTTGGGAGTTGGGACCACCATGTCTATGGTTGACACTGTATTGGAGTTTGAGGCATAATTTTGAAACTCAGTGTCGTTGGAACCATCATGTCAGTGGTTGACATTATATGGGAGTTCGAGACATAATGGTGTTGTTAGGACTACAAGGCCCGTAGTCGACACCATATTTGATTATATGATGGTTTTTTGATAAACCATGAAATTTCTATGACTTTAAGGCATTTGACAGAAATTGGAGGACTAACCGAGAAAATAGCAGTTTGCATGTTGTTGGATCACATTGGCATGCTATTTTCTTGCTACACTCTACACTAATGACTAGTCGACGGAATCAAGTAACATTTGTGACCATGGAAGGTCTTATATCGGTAAGGGTATAATCACCGCCTGATTCAATGTTATTTGATTTTAGTTGGATGGAGTCATATTCAGATATCGTACCTTGGATTATGTGTTTTCTTAAAATGTGGCCACATTATAAAAATTAGTCCTTAGCCCAAGAGTCGTTTTCAAATAATTTATTTTCTTTTTCTCTTTTAAATTAAAATTCTACAATTGATTTTGTCCAAGTGAGAGAATGTTAGAAATTTTTATAATGATTATGGACTTCAATCAATTGTAGTTTTTCTTGTTTTGATAAAAACAAGCTAAGTCATGATCCATATGGGGGTGCAGTATAAAGCCCATTTAATTAAATGATCATTTTGTTTGGGCTTGGATATTTGTAAACTGGTTAGTGTGGGTAACAATGTAGGCCTAACTCATAGGCCCATGATGAGAAGGGGACTAGGGTTAATAAGTTTGGCTAGGTCCCCTCTGCATTCACAACGTGTTAGAAAATCGTTACTCCATAACTTGCCCCATCGGCGGTTGTGATCAGGGAATGGTGTGAATTGTAGAGGAAGATCCTAGTCTTTTCATTGCAGGAGCATTAGAGGAAACAAGAAGCCTTCAAGAAATCAAGAATCATGTCTTCAACAAGTAAGCTTAAATCTTTTTGGTGTTCTAATTTCATATAATCTCATCTTGAGATTTCTTACACGTGCGGCCCGTGTGAGAATAAAAGAGATAAAATATGAGTCCCCACGTACTTTTATGTATGTGTAAGAGATAAATTTATCTCCTATAACATAATAAATAATAAATTCACACTCACATCATATATAAGAACTCCAAAAATATTAGGTTTTTTTTACCATAATAATTAAAAAACGGATACTGTTTTCCTCGCATTCAAAAGTTAAATTATTTGATGGGTGTGCAGTGCTTTACAATATGCATACGAGGTGTTCGCAACTTTAACATGCATGTGGTAATATGCGTCTTGCAAGCACAAAACATAGCAAGTGTACATGAACTTTTGCAAAGTCGTGCATAGAGATATGCACGACTTGAACGTGATGCACATATTGAAGAAAACGAAGCATGGTAGGCACGCGTTAGCTTTTGCATAAGTCTTGGCATGGAGTAATGCATGACTTGGAGGGCACACTAGGAGTGTTCCTTAACCAATCTAAATCGATTCAAACCGTGATAACCAAACCAAAAAATCGATAACCGAATTAACAAAAAATTGAAAAATCAAATAAAAAATAGCATATATTTTAATTGTATTGAATCGATTTTCTATTTGGTTAGTGATAA